TGATGATGATGATGATGATGATGATGATGATGATGATGATGATGATGATCGGGTATGGGTGTAGTGGTTGGGAGCGGTGCTTGGCTCAGCCACATTTCATTGCATTCACGGCTGCAAGGGCCCCGCGGGGCCCAAGCCAGACCCAGGCGACGAGGGGCGGACCCGAGACGCTAGACTGGGGCAGCCCCCCGCTATGACCCCTGGCGTCTGAGGCCGCCAGGAGCATCGCGGTCAGGCCGCCCCCTTCCGCCCGAGCCCTCGCGGGCTCGGTGGACGCGAGAGCCCTCAGACCCCGACGGAGGACCGCCGACGGCCGCCATGGGGCCGTCGGCCGAGCTTTCCGAGCCGCGCCCAGCGGGCCTTATCTGCGCAGGCGAGGTTAACAGCGTGCGGCACACGGCGCACGGCGCCGCTCGGCCACCCCTCCTCTTGAGGCGGTGGCCGAGCGGGAACCGCGCGGTCCAGGGAGACTCCTCGGCCTCCGCTGGTGCTGCTGGAGCTGCTGGAGCTGCACCGACGCTCGCGAGCTCCGCTGGTGCTGCTGGAGCCGCGCCGACGCTCGCGAGCACAGCCGCCTAGGCCGCCTGGGGCTCCCACGCCGATCTCCACGCCGAGCCCCCACTCCAGGGCGATAAGCTGCGCCGCGCGCAGCGCCTGCGCAGGTTTCCGCCGATCCTGGCGCCGCTGACCACGACGGCCTCGGGCAGGGCGGAGAGGATCCCCACGCCGTTCCAGGCCGAGTGCGCCGGCGCCTCCACGGCTTCCGCCAGCCGCAGGAGCAGGCCCAGCAGCGCCGCGAGCGCGACCCCCGCGCGCCGCCAGGCGCCAGGGTGGAGCTGCCTGCGGACCTCGGTCCGCAGCTCGATGACGCACTTCACGATGTGCACCATGGGGACCTCGACGGCCTGCTCGGCGAACAACTCGAGCCACGCGGGGGGCTCCTGTGGCACTCCCACGGGCTGCTCCGCCTGCAGCGCGATCGGCACCTTCACGATCCTCTCCTGGGCCTCGCAGACGGCCTCCACGTTGTGCACCATGGCCTCGGCAGCCTCCTCGAACATGGCCTGCGGCACCTCCACGATCCGCACGGGGGGCACCTCCCAGTCGATGTGCGGGATCTCGGGGCGGGCCGCCTGAGTCTCCGCCAGAAGGGCCTGCGACGCCTCCGCGGGCAGCTCCGCCTGCAGCGCTGTGGGCAAATCCACGGTCGTCCCCTGGGCCATGACTTGCGGCACCTCCGCGGCCTGCTCGCGGGCCTCGGCCGCCAGCTGCGGGAGCTGCTCGTCCTCGGCCGCCTCGCAAGAGCCCTCGGACCCGTGCGCGGAGTCCGAGCTGCGAGGCGCCTGGCGAGGCGCTCCGCCCGCGGCGCAGGTGGCGGCCGCGCTCGCAAGACCCCTCGGACCCGTGCGCGGAGTCCGAGCTGCGAGGCGCCTGGCGAGGCGCTCCGCCCGCGGTGCAGGTGGCGGCCGCGATGGCTGCGGCCACGGCCCGCGCCCCCAGGGCGGCGACCGTGTCCCGCGCCGCCCGCGTCAGCTCCAGCTCGTCCACCAGGGCCGCTGCGCGCCGCTGCCAGAAGTCCGCCTCGCGCGTGGTCTCACGCAGCAGCGCCTCGGCCGACCAGCGGGCGTGGAGCTGTCCCGCCTGACGCCGCCGTCGGCGGGCGGCGCTGGGGCCAGGCTCTCGTGTATCGACAGCCTCGCCGCGGCGGGCCGCCTCCCCCCGTTCGCGCACAATGGCAGCGGCCGCCGTGCGCATAGTCTCAGCGCGAGAGAGTCCCAAAACTCTCGAGCCAAAACTATGATGATGATGATGCTGATGATGATGATGATGATGATGATGATGATGATGATGATGATGCTGATGCTGGTGCTGGTGCTGATGCTGATGCTGATGATGATGCTGATGCTGATGCTGCTGCTGCTGCTGCTGATGATGATGATGATGATGATGAGGGATGATGATGATGGTGATGATGATGATGATGCTGCTACTGATGATGATGATGATGATGATGCTGATGATGATGATGATGATGATGATGGTGATGATGATGATGATGATGACGATGATGATGATGATGATGATGATGATGGTGGTGGTGGTGGTGGTGGTGATGATGATGATGATGATGGTGATGGTGATGGTGATGATGATGATGATGATGATGATGATGATGATGATGATGATGGTGATGGTGATGATGATGATGATGATGATGATGATGATGATGAGGAGGAGGAGGAGGAGGAGGAGGAGGAGGTGGAGGAGGAGGAGGAGGAGGAGGAGGAGGAGGAGGAGGAGGAGAGATGGACGCCTTCTCGCCCCCCCGAGCCTACCGCACAGGCCTTGGAGGACGGGCCCACGAAGGTTCCGGCCAAGAGAAAGCAGGTTGTCAGGCGTCCGCGTTTCCCGTCTTGCACTTCAGGCTGGGAAGCGTCTGGGAAGCAGTGGGGCGGGTTCGTGGATGACTTAGGCGAGCCATCCTTCCCCCCCCCCTGCTCATGGCCGAAGCGCCGGGATGGAAGCGCGAGACCCTCGGGCGAGGGATCCCACGCGAGGGAGACGATGCAGGACAGTTCGTCGGAGCGGGGCAGCGAGCAGGAGTGCGAGCCCACATTACAAATACTGGGGAAGGAGGAGTACGCGGATGATGCGGATGATGATGCTGCTGCTGCTGATGATGATTATGATGATGATGCTGCTGATGATGCCGATGATGATGATGATGATGATGATGATGATGATGATGATGATGATGATGATGATGATGATGATGATGATTATGCTGATTTTGATGATGACCATGGTGGCATGCTGATGCTGATACTGATGATGCTGCTGGTGATGATTGTCATGGTGATGATGCCGATGATGGTGACGACGAGGATGATGACGATGCGGCTGCTGCTGCTGATGATGATGCCCATCATTTGGTGGTGGCGATGAGGATTGTTAAGTTGCTGGTATTGTTGATGATGCCAATGCCGACTATGATGTTGATGATGTTGATGATTTTGCTGATGATGATGATGATGATGATGCTACTGCTAGTTATCATGATGATGCTGATGATGAGGATGATGCTGACGATGATGTTGATGATGCTGATGATTATGGCGATGAACATGATTACGATGATGCTGATGATTATGATGCTGACGTTGATGACGGGGGGTGAGGAGGAAGACTATGACCATAGGAAGGAATACGAATGATAATAGCACGTTGAATGATCATCATCATATTCATAGTACTACTAATTTTCAAGGATATAAATAACACTAATAATCATAGTCGTGGTAGTAATACGAGTAATAACAACACTAATACAAATGATGACCATACTACGAACAAGAAGAAAGATAACAATGATAAGACGAAGAAGACAACTAAGATGATGAACAATAAGATGGGGAGCAGATGGAGGATGAACTCGACAAGAGTGGAAACGTACGACCATGATGCTTGTAGAATCCGTTTGGGTGGGAGCATGGGAGATTCTACTCAGGACAGGAATGGTGTGCTCAACATCAGTTTGAGGAAGAGGTTTTGAAGTATTATTGAGGAAGCCGGAGCTGGAGTTTAGAGAGGAGGGGACTATTGGTTGGGTGTATTTAGTGCCAGTTCAAAGTGTGGAGATGCACGGGAAGGACGGAGGGAAGTCAGGCTAGCAAGCTTGCGGTTGAGGTTGGGGATGACAGCGCTGATGGTCATACTGCGAATGGCTTTGCTGATCATGATGCTGGCAACGATGATTATAATGATGATGATGGTGAAGATGATGATGATGATGATGATGATGATGATGATGATGATAAGGATGATGATGATGATAATGATGATGCTGATGATGAACATGATTATGATGATGATGCTTATGACAATGAGATGCTGATGATGATGATGATGTTGCTGCGGGTGCTAATGCTGACGATGATTGTAATGACGACGATGATGTTGACGATGACGATGATGACGATGACGATGATGATGATGCTGATGATGCTGCTGCTGATGATGATTGTGATGATGATGATGATGATGATGATGATGATGCTGGCGATGGCGATGACGATGACGATGACGATGACGACGAAGAATACAACGACGAAGACCACAACGACGACGACGAGGATGAGGAGGCGGAGGAGTAGGAGGGGGGCGCGGAGGATGAGGGAGATGATGCGGCTGAGGCTGAGGCTGAGGCTGAGGCTGAGCATGAGGAGGATGAGGATTGGGATGATGATTATGATGCTTCTGATGGTGATGCTGATAATGATGATCATGCTGATGATGATGCTGATGCTGCTGATGATGATGGTGGTGGTGCCGACGATGATGATGCTGAGGATGACGATGGTGATGCTGATGATGACGATGTTGATGTCGATGATGATGATGCTGCTGATGGTGATGAGGTTGGTGCTGCTTATGATGATGATGCTGCTGCTGATGCTGATGATGATGATGCTGATGGTGATGCTGATTACGATGACGATGATTAGGATGATGATGGTGATGCTGATGATGATGAGGACGATGGTGTTGATTCTGATGATGCTGATGGTGCTGACGCGGATCATGCTGATGCTGATGTTGATGATGCTGTTGTTGTTGATGGTGAGAATGTTGATAATGTTGATGACGCTGATGATGACGACGATTATGCTGCTGATGATGCCGATGACGATGATGACGATGATGCTTATGATGATGCTGATGATGATGCTGATGATGCTGATGCTGATGCTGATGCTGATGCTGATGATGATGATGATGATGATGATGATGATGATGCAGATGATGATGATGATGCTGATGATGATGATGATGATGATGATGATGATGATGATGGTGGCGCTGATGTTGTTGCTGATGATGGGGAGGAGGCGGAAAAAGGAAGAGGCCGGGTAGGATGACGAGGGGGAGGATGAGGCGGAGAAAGGAAGAGGATGAGGAGGGGGAGGGGGAGGGGAAGGGGGGTGGGGTGGGGGAATGATGAGGGGGGGGGAGGACAAGAATGAGCCTGAATGTTCGGATGATGCTGATGCTGCTGCTGATGATGATGATGATGATGCTGATGATGATGATAATGATGCTGATGATGATGAGGATGATGATGGTGATGATGATGCTGATGATGATGATGATGATGATGATGATGATGATGATGTTGACGATGCTGATGATGATGATGATGATGCTGAAACTGGTTTGGATGATGATGATGATGATGCTGATGGTGGTACCGTTGATGATGATGCGGATGATGATGATGATGATGCTGATGATGATGATGTTGATGATGATGATGATGCTGATGATGATGATGATGATGATGCTCATGATGATGACGATGATGGCGATGCTGATGATGATGCTGATGATGCTGCTGATGATGATGATGATGATGATGCTGATGTTGTTGTTGGTGCTGGTGTTGCTGATAATAGTGGTGAGGAGGAGGCGGGGGAGGAGGAAGAGGAGGGGGTGTGGGTGGGTGGGTGAAGGAGGGGGATGAGGACAAGGACGCGGATGAGGACGAGGCCGCAGATGCGGATGCCGTTGAGGAAGAGAAGAACGATGATGATGTTGCTGATGATGATGATGATGATGATGATGATGATGATGATGATGCTGATTCTGATTATGATTCTGATTATGATTATGACGACGACGGCGATGACGATGCTGACGATGATGAATCTGATGACGATGATGATAATGATGCTGATGCTGATGATGATGACGATGATGATTGTGATGGTGATGTTGTCGATGCTGATGATGCTGATCATGATGATGACGATGGTGATGCTGATAATAATATTGTTGTTGTTGTTGGTGGTGCTGATGTTGTTGATCATCATGATGAGGAGGAGGCGGGGGAGGAGGAGAACGAGGAGGGGGTGTGGGTGGGCGGGCGGGCGGGTGAAGGAGCGGGATGCGGACGAGGATGCTGATGAGGATGAGGATGGGGATGAGGATGCCGTTGAGGAAGGTTATGCTGATGATGGCAATGGCGATGAATATGATGACGATGATGATGATGATGATGATGATGATGATGACGATGATGGTGCTGATGATGATGATGATGCTGATTCTGCGGACGATGCGTAGTATTATGATGGTAATGAGGGTGATGCTGATCATGATGATGATGCTGATGATGCTGATGATGGTGGTGGTGGTGATGGTGATGTTGCTGTTGCTGTTGCTTTTGGTAAGGGTGGCGCGGCTGATCGTGACGGTAGTGGTAAGGCTGATGAGGCTGTTGATGAGGATGCTGGGGGTCACGATTACTGCTGGTTCTGATGTCGATGTCACTGCTGGTTTGCATGCTGATGCCGCATATGATGATGATGATGATGATGATGATGATGATGATGATGATGATGATGATGCTGATGATGATGATGATGCTGATTCTGATGCTGATGCTGATGCTGATGCTGATGTTGATGTTGATGCTGAGGTTGCTGCCGCTGATGATGCCGATGATGATGGCGATGACGATTGCGATGTCGATGACAGTGATGATGATGATTATGCTGATAATGACGCCGACGATGATGATGCTTATGATGGTGATGCTGGTGATGATGATGCAACTGATCCTGATGATGACTGCGAGGCTGCTGATGAGGATGAGGAGGACGACGATGATGCTACTGATGCTGATGATGACGATGGCGGTGCCGATGACGATTCTGATGATGATGACGACGATGATGATAATGCTGCTGATGGCAATGATGATGATGCTAATGCTGACGATTACGATGATGATGATGATGATGACGATGATGACGACGCTGAAGATGATGATGATGCTGATGATGATGATGCTGATGATGATGATGATGATGGTGATCATGCCGATGCTGACGATGACGACGCTGATGCTGCTGCCAATGATGTTGACGGAAGAAGATGATGATGTTGATGTTGTGGTTGGGATGATGATGATTATGCTGCTGCTGATGATGCCGAGGATTCGGGTGCTGTTTTTTAGATGGTGTTGCCGTCGCTGGTAATGTTGATTATGGTATGCTATGTTATGATGATGATGGTGCTGAGGATGCTGCTGCTGATGATGATGCTGCTGATGATGATGGAGGGATGATGGTAATGCTGGAGGGATGATGCTGGTGGTGACGATGATGATGCTGATGATGCTGCTGCTGCTGATGATGATGATGATGATGATGACGATAGGTGCGATGCTGCTGCCAATGATGGTGCTGATGATGCTGATGATGCCGATGATGATGCTGATGATGATGCTGATGCTGATGCTGATGATGATGATGATGATGATGATGATGATGATGATGATGGTGGCGGTGCTGATGATGACAATGATGATGATGAGGCTGCTGCTTGATGATGA